ATAAAGTATTAGTTTCTCAACAGTACTTAAAATGCTTGGTTCCTTCTCTGTCCAGGATCACTATGTTTCCAGGACTCAAGGAAAAGCAGTGACCAAATCAAAGCGCTTTTACAATAGCAAAAGCCTCAACAATACACTTTCAGGAAAAAATATTCTCTCCAGATGAACTTTCCCCCAAACTTAAACAAAGTCCTGTGCTTGCTCTGGTTTTGGCTTTTGGAAGATTCCACGATGGGAGTCTAGCATCAACAGCTATCCCTCAACCAAAACAAGTGTCGTCACCTCTCTAGGTCCAGTTCCTCGCATACTGGATATCTGTAGGGTCAACCTAGTTCTCACATGCCAGGAGTTTATGAATTACGCTCCACTTATACCGATACCAAGGCAGTATCAGACTACAGCAAGATGCTGAAGTTAGTCAAATACATCTAAATTTTTCCCTAAATAGGAGAATGTTGACTATAATTAAGACCTTGAAAAATATTTAAGTCAGTGACATAGGAAGCAAATAATTAAATCTAGACTATAACTAGTCCTTCGAATTGCAAGTCTCAACAGGGTCGACTAACTACCTGTCAGAGACAATACGATGAAGAACAACCAGTTTACTCTGGACTTCAAGGTCTTTTCCTGTGATGCCACAAATGTAACATAGCAGGTTTAAACACCGGTGAATAATTCCTACCTGCCACGGGATACTTCCACACCATCGCTTCCCCTTGGCCTTACTTCTAATGCATCGGAAGAACAACCTAGTGAAATAGAAACACAAATAATCAGGGTCTTGAAAGTCCATTAAAACAAGAAATACACTTGCTTTTAATCCCAGAAACTATTTTACAACTATTTGATATCAGTTTTGAAAGGTCACTTGAAATCAAATCTCTTATATGCACCTTTAAAAATTCTCTACTGCAAGGATAGTTATAAGAGCTGAGAGATGAAAGAACAGAGATGTTATGGTATAAGCAGAGGGTATGCGATAGTTTATTCTTTTTACTCCGTAAAGAATGATTGAAATGAAGATACTGATCAGCAGTGGCTGCTAAAATCAGAAAAAGAGAAATAACCAGACATTGTATGTCCCTGAATCTGGTCAAACCCCTAGATCCAATTATCAATTTACAGGAAATACAAACAGAAGAAAACATACAAGTGGACCATGGGGATATGATCTGCAAAATCCTGACAGTGGGAAGCTATTGACAAACAACTTGACTCCTTCAACAAATAAATTACAAGGAAGAAAAAAAAGATGGAGGGGAAACTTAAGAGACTTAAAAGAAATACCAATGAATTGCAATTTATAGACTTATTTTGGATCTTGATTTAAACAAATAAACAAAAACTATGACATTCTTAAATCTACTATAAATTTAAACTCTGGTTTAAAAAACGAAAAAAGGAGTTCACATCTTTTAGAGATGCATACTAAAATATCTATAGAAGAAGTTACATTATCTGAGATCTATCTCAAAATATGGCAGTTGGGGGTGAAGTGGGAAGGTATATATGAAACAAGAATAGCCATAAACTGGTAATTTTTGAAGCTCATGTGTCCCATTATTCTATTCTATCTACTTTTGTATATATTTGCAATCTTCCATTTTAAAAAAAAAAAAGACTGAATACAGATTTACATCCCAGTTCAAGACAGTCCCTACCCACACAGCTTACACTCCAGCTATGCAGAAACAGCTCCACTGCCCCATCCCCAAACTAAGCCATGCACTCTCCAGTCTATCAGCTTTTGTGTGCGTTAACTCCCTCCATCCAAAAGGTGTCTTCTTTATCCCCGTTTTCCCACCCTCTCTCCCACCTCCAGCTGTTAAAGTCCTACAGGCCCCTCAATGTCCAATTCAAAAGTCATACCTCTTTCATAAGGCTTTCCCACACTCCCTTCCCTGCTCATCCACTGTACTACTGCTGCTGTATTTCTGCTGTATTTAGTTGTATTACATTTGTACCTCCCTGTCTGCCTGACTACGTTTTCAGCAACTGGAAGACAATAATCATATAAGATCTCTTCAGTCCTGACCCTTGCCTTTTGTACATTATAGTTAATTACTGCTGAATTAAACAGAACCAATTGATTTTTTCTTTACCTAAAATAACTCCTCAAAAACTTTTAATCAGTTAAATAAGTGTTTTAAATACATATTTATTTGTTTAAATATAGTATATTTAATCAAAATTATAAACTGGCAGTGAAAAGCACTCCTCTCACCATACTCTATCTACACTTTACATACTTTACAGCTGCATAGTTTTTTACACAGCTACCTACAGTTTTCCACTATGTAAATGTCCCATCATTTACTTAACCAGACCCCTCTTGATGAACAGTTGGCTTGTTTTCAAACCTTTACTCTTAAAATCAATGTCACAATGAATACCTTAGGCCCATGTCATTTCACATGTGTTTCAATATATCTGTAGGGTAATTCCTTATTTCTCATATTGTATATTAGCGCCTTCCCTCATTTTCTTGATCATTTAGCTTCTGAATCTTATTTGTTTTGCTGTTTTCTAACTCATTTAATTCCATTTTTACCTATATTAATTCCTCCTTTCTGCCTTCTTTCAAGTTTAATTTCTTATTCTTTTCTTCTTAAATTAGTCCTGTGATATACGACATGAATCATAATAGTCTGAGTCCTAGTTGAAAAAGAATCCCTCGAGGCCATTACTTTACCTGGACATCTAAGCAAAGGTAACAAGCCCAAAACAGACAAATAGTCCACAAAAGTTAAGCTAAAAAAGAATATAGGTCCAGCCCCTCTTGTACAAACACAATTTTCCCAGTCAAGCTCACAATTTAAAAAATATTATCGGTCTCTTTAACTTTTCTAACTGCAATAGGATATTACATGGAACATATGGAATAAAATTTCTAAGATGCTTTGAATGCATAAAAATTCAAAATACTGACTACTATTAGGGAGTATTTATCAAAATAAATTTTTAAAAAATTGCTTATGTTGTTTAAAGCATGTCAAGTACCTGAAATCTTTACTGAAAGAACATTTCATAAATAGGATCTATTTTAAAGCCCAAGCCACACAAGGCAAGATTTGGAGAAACAAGGAAGAAATCAATGCACACCATGCACCTACTATGTGCTTTAATAAGCACAGTGCTAAAAATGCATTTACTTACATTTTTATTAAAATCAATATGGATGGGCTTTTGTTTTTAGGATATGTTTACTAAATTGTACATCAACAAAGAAAGCAGTGAAACTATATTCTCATAGAAAAAGCAAATAATTGATGTCACTATAAAGAAGAACGTATATTAATTAATGATTTCCCAAGACACAGGTTATAAATAATAATGACTAAGAAACCAGCCAGAGAAAGGCAGACAGATCCTTTCTGTCTTCTTCACCAGAAGGCAAATCCTCCTTACTCACTACAGGCTGACTGACCCGCCCAGCACCTCATTTCATAAGTGCCTTCATTTCAGCCAGGCTGCGATTGTCTCAGGTTCCACAACCAGCCTCCCAACTCTACCATGTCATTAGCTCGGAAAATGAAGACATCTTATTTGACTAGCCCCTGCGGCAGTTTCCTTTTCCATAAAATGGTAGTCACTGCGAAGGTCAGATGGATTAACACTTGTAAAGATAAAGGAATCAGACCAAAGCCTGAACACATTAAGGACTCAATAAATAACAGCAATCTTTAGTCTCCTCGTGTGGACCACCTTGCTTGTTCCTATATCCAGGCTTCTGCTTAGAGCCTGGAACACCTTCCTTGTCTTTTTCTCTATCTGAAGTTTAAAGGTCACTCAAGGCCAAGTGCAAGTCTGAATTCCTCCACTTTCTCAGTAATCTTCATCAGCCATAACCCCTTACTGTAGGTCTTACTGTCAAAGAAGCATCTGGCATTTGGACACATCCAATTTAGCATTCTAACATGTGCAGGCCAAACCGCTCACCAACCTTCTCATGCCCAATTCTCATCCCAGTTGTGTCTTAAGGCCCTTAGGAATACAGGTTCACGTCTTTGTATGCCCCAGCAATGGAAAAACACAAAGCTAGATCTCTATCTCATTCTTTTACATTAATATTCAAGATGGAACAAAAATGTAAATGTAAAAAAATCAAACTGTAAATGTCCTAGACAAAAATATGAATAATCCTACAGTGAAGGCTTTTTAAGCATGACATAAAACCCTGAAGCTAAGAGATAAAGAATTCAGTAATTTCAACTACATAAAATTTTAAACTTCCATATGGTAAAAATACTATAAGCAAAACTCTAAGACAAAAAGCAAACTGAGAAAAGTAATTGCTATACATATTACAAAGGGCTAATCCATCGCATACAAGGAGTATCATACAGCACCTACTAAGTACTGGCTTTACTGAGGGGGGTTCTTCATGGGTTAGTGGGGCCTGCGATCCTATTGGCTTGTGCCCAAATGCCTCTGTCATCAGCCTAGATAATCATCATTGGGCTAGATGATCTGCATGCCAATTTTACCCAGTAACTAACCACACAAGGAGTTTCCTAGACATACAAAGATTTAAGTGTTACTAAAAATGAAATATTTTGAACATCCTGCTATAACCAGTTGCTTAAAGAACTAAAACTTGTTTCATCTATTTATAAGCAAAAGTATTTCCATCCATTTTGACCCCATATCCTTGATAATAAAAAGTAAAAAGGGGGTGCAGGGAAGAAGGGAACATGAACTCAGGAGCTCGATGACAATGTACAATGTTTGTAACTCAAGGTGTGCCACTTTTATGTAGTAAATCACTCATGTCAGGCCAAGAGTTCTTTCCTCTGTTTCTGAGTGACCATCAGTTTCCTTTATTGCTCATACACAGAGGGCCATGGCGGAAGGGCCAGTCAAAAGCTGATGGGTACCATCTGGTGTTTCGTACACTCCAAGGTATGAAAAATGGGCATCTTAGCCTCACCGCGGTTCACACCTCTCTCCCATTACTCTGTGGCACCTGTCTCCTAGCTGGGTTAAGCTTTAAACATAACGGCATTAATTTGAGGGAGAAAAGTACTTTAAATTCTTGGAAAGAAAACCCAGTTTGGGGGAAGGAAAGACTGTATTCCCTGAGGTCATTCTCCAAAGGGCAGGAGTTCTGGCTAAATGTCTTACTGTCTGAGGAGGAAGTCATCATCCATGGGCTTATCTACTTCTGCTTAAATTTCCTGCCTGTACCACCTATCCGGGTATTTGTTTTTTATTGTCGTTTTCATTTTTAATTTGTTGCATGTTGTAGAACTGTACTGTATTTGTTCTAAAACAACCTTTTTAAAGCTCTAGTATCTCCTAGTAATAATGTTCTAGATTTGGGCTAAAAGAATTACATTTAGCATACTTTTTTTCTATTTTAAAATAATGATTGACTCTCAGCTTCATCTACCCAGTACAAAGAATGATAAGTTCCAAAATTCTTTAGCCTAGACCTTTCTTCAGAGCTGCATGCTCACTTTTCTGGCTGGTTTCACATAAGATATGATTAGTCCAAATCTCTCTGTTAGCCACACATCACGATCTCTACTCATGCTACGTTTCCTTCCCTGCCTCGCTTTCACCCATAAACCCCAACTTCTTAGCAGCCATTTACTGAGCACTGACAATGAGCCAAATGCCAGATAAGTGCATCTCACACATGACCTTACTAAATCCTCATAACTCAGGGAGTTGGGACCACTGGGATCACTACTCCTGATGAGAAAAAAGGAAGGAAGGAATATGCTTGTGCCCTACCCGGAACTATGTCTTTTCGATTCTCTTTCAGCAAGTTTTCTGCAGTCTAAGTGCACCCGACTCCACTACCACTGTCTCAACCCAAGCCTGTCTTTCACTTAAGAGAAAACAGGTGTATCTGGAACCAGTTAAATCTAGGTTTGAATCTCAGCAACATCACTTTGTGACCATGAAAACTCAGATTCCTTTCCTAACCTCTCAAAATGCTTCCTTATCTGTCTGTAAAATGGGGATACTGAAACCTATCACAGTAGATTCTATGATGATAAGAGATAATGAATATGCCACGTAGTAGGCATTCAATAGTGGCTATTATTTCAGTGGTCTCTTGCCTTCACTGTCTTTACTTCTAATTTACCTTTCATAGCTCTTCTTTCAATGGAAATTGGATCAAAAATTCTTCAGTGGTTTCCTACTACCTAGCACAGTGCTTCTGTATGGTAGAGGGCCCCAAGTAGTATGAAAATGGTTTGAGGTGTCAGGTCCTAATTTCATGTACTAGAAGCCCCTTGGAACCAGCAGAAAACAATCAAAAAGCAGAATTTTAAAAAATTTCATTTACAACTGCATCAAAAAATATAAACATAGAGGACTAAATTTAACAAAAAAGGTACAAAACTCCATAATGAAAACAATTCAACAATGCTAAGGAAAATTTTTAGGTCATAAATAAATATACCATACTCATGGATTGGAAGTGTGATATTAATGTCAGTTCTCTCTACAGTGATCTATATTGATTCAGTGTAATCCCAACAGGGTTTTCTGAGGAAATTTTAAAAGTTGATTCTATATTTTATATGGAATGCGAAGGACCTAGAATAGTCAATCTTGGAGAGAAAAAAAGAGTCGGAATAGATTAATTAGCAAGTCTGGACACAGACCACAATGTCAAGACCACAAGGTCACGTATTCCCTTGGAGAAAAGAAAGTCTCTAACACACAGCACTGAAATGACCGAATAACATTTATTCAATATTATATGGATTAAAAAACTTCTATCTCATAAGGACCCCAAATGAATTTGAGGTAGATCACAGACTAAACCAAAAAAAACCGTAAGAAAAACTATAAAACTTCTAGAAGAAACCACTGGAGAAATCTGTGATCTTAGGTAGGCAAAGATTTCTCAGAGAGAAGACAAAAAGGACAAACTATTAAAAAAATAATAAATCGGATTTTATGAAAATTTGAAACTTCTGCCTTTCAAAAGACAACAAAATGAAAACACCACAGAGAATTGTACAGAGAATACATAAAGAACTCTTCCAACTCAAGAATAAAAAGGCAACACAATTTTAAAGATATGCAAAAATCCCAAAAAGTTATACTGTATGATTTCATTTATGCAATATTTTTGAAATGACAAAATTTTTGACATAGAGGTCACATTCATGGTTGCCAGGGGTAAGGAAGGGGAAGCAGGCGGGAGGAGGATGGTTAGACAAAGGCAAAAGGAGGGATCGTGTGATGAAACTGTTCAATATTTTGATTGTGGTGCCGAATACACAAAACTACGAGTGATAAAACTGTACAGTACTAAATGTACACACACACAAATGAGTATAAGTAAAACTATCTTTACAAATAAGATCAGTAGATTATATCAATATTCTAGTTGCAATATTATACAAAAATTTTGCAAATTGCTACCATTAGGTAAAGTCTACAGTGATCCCTCTGTACTATTTCTTATAACTGCATGTGAATCTACAATTATCTCAATAAAAATTTCAATTAAAAAAATGGGCACAAGATTAAACAAATACTTCAAAGGAGATATATAGACAGCAAATGAACATATGAAACAAACTGTAGTATTCATAAAATAGAATTCAGTTTTGCAATAATAATGAATGATTAATACACACAATCAAATGGATGAATTTCAAATACTGTGACATAAAAGAAGCCAGACACAAAAGAATACATACAGTATGAATCAAAAGAGTGGTTGCCTATGGTGGGTGGAGGAATTAACTAGAAGGGGAATCCAGTGACCCTTAGTGGGGTAACAGAATTTTCTATATTTTGACTGGGGTCCTGGTTATAAGGATGGGTGCATACATCTCTCAAAACTCGACCAATTGAACACTTAAGATCTGTGCATCTTTTTGCATGTATAGCTCAATTAAGAAAAAAAGTAATACAGGCAGTATTCAGGTATATAAAAATTGTGAACATGGTACTTGAATGCCTCTATTTTGGAAGGAAAAAAATCTAGAAAAAACTGCACTGAATATCATATAAAGACCATCACATCTGGCCCCTGTCTTCCTGGCCAGACTTGTCTTCTGAAGTCTCTACTCAAACATATGCAGAACTATTACTGAACCAAATGCTTGCAATTCCATTACTACATGCCTCCGTACCCTAACACAGTGTATCAACTGGTTAAATATGATCTCATTCCTGCCTCTAGTGAATTCCTACCTATCTTTCAATACTCGTGACAAGTATCATCTGCCATATATATAGCCTTTCCTGTCCTTCTTCTGAGTTCCCATAAAAAAGGGAAACTAACGTTTATTGAGTACCCAACATATGTTAGACATTTTTACACATAACTTTGATCTACTAAAGAATCACAAAGCTGACAAGTTAGTGCAAATTAATGACTCTTGGTGAGTCAGTGTTACTGGCTACTCGAGAGAAAAACTAAGGTGGAACAGTTTATCCTGAAATTAGCCAGAGGTCAGGTTTCTCGGATTAACCAGCAGTGAAGGAGTGATCACTCAGAAGATGCTCAATTCACATAGAAATACTGTTTACTTTTTAACAATGATTTTTTAAAAACTCAATCCTAGAAAAACGTACCTGGCTTTAACTCTTCCAGGCAAATTTTAAAAAAAGAAAGGAAAAAAAGCAAATACACTTAAATGTTCCTTTTTGGACACTTACCTATATTCTTTTGTGCCCTGTGGTGGAAATAAACCCTGAAGCTCTACCACAAAGTTCTCATGCAATAAACAATGAGAAACAGGAATGCTAGAGGAAAAAATAAAATAAAATTTTGTTTTAGGAATAGACGTCAACAACCTAAAATTAAATCCAACTTATGGGTTTCAAACTTAAAAGTCCAGGAATGACCTTCTCTGAGTTTGTAACTCCCACACATTTTTATGTCTGTGTGCCTTCCCCTGGGAAAGGGTCCATGGCTTTCATCTTTTCCCACTCCCCCAAATAAAGCATGACAAAAAATAAATCTTTTTCTTGATGACCCATTTAAAACTATACTGTGCTATGCAGCCTCTGCATTGTGAAACCTCCTGGAATGACTTAAGTATCTAAGCCTGGCTGGGAATTTTCCTGTTTTTTCCATCATCATTTTTCTTGTCATAATCCGTCTGCTGTCACTTAGTGTTGTTCACATGCCTATTTTAGCAGTACACTCTACTAATCTGTTCATGCTTGGCATAAGTTTAACTCCTCTCTTTCAACTTCTTATTATGAGAATTTATATATATTTGAGAGTAAATAGATTTGAGTAAGATCTAAAGTATTCTCTTGTATAACCTGCTTATATTCTTGTTATGACATATTCCAAATAGATCAAGTTTATCAAAGTATTGTAAAGTTAAATATTATTGTACTAGTTTGTACAGTAGAACATTTATATAAATAGCACTCTATATAAGGATGTGTTTCTTTTCATGTAAAACTGAGTCTTATGCTACCATTAATACTTAATTCCTATGAATCTGAACACTTTCATGTTTCATGCAACTTGAACTAGGTACAAAACCTAAGAAACTGCATAAAAATTAGAAATAGTAAACCCTAACAAAGCTGTTGACAGCTTATTTTGGGTTGGTCTCTTCTATCTTAAGATGTGACACCATTTTACTCAAAATCATTTTGTATTTAATTAAAGAGGACCCCAGTAATTTCAACTAAAAAAAAAACAACTTATTGAAGGGCTAAGAAAACATTTTCTCTAAAAACTTATTTTCTAAATCTGAAAGTCTTTCACTTAGTTTCAAAGCATAACAAAGATACAAGACATCTAAGTCACCTGAGAAAAACAGAAGTTAATATACATGTTGAAAATGTTTTCTAGTACTGATATCCATTACGTGGAGAAAAGTTACATGATATGGAGAAAAGTTACATGACATGGAGAAAAGTTATTTTTCTCTACAAACTTCAGAAGAGCAGGAAATGTTTAATGATGTGACAGTTTTGAAATTCACTATAGACTGGACACGTGATACTGTAAAAACATTAACAATTTATGGAATAGTATTAACTTTTCCCACTTTAAAAAAGATGCTTAATATTCCTGGGTTTCAGCTTTCAATTTTGTAAAACCAGAGCGCTGAATCAGATACCTGATTTTCTTTCATTTTAATCTCTGAAGTAACTTGTTTCTTTGGATTATCAATCTCAGCACTTAAATGCAGAGAATTCTATTTTTAAAAGGAGCTGACATTCTGCCCATCAAAGTGTTTTAACCTCAAACATTTAAAAACCCATTCGACCTAAAACTCGTGCAAAACGAGGACCAACTATTTTCTACCATGCCTGACCGTCCTCACTTAAATGCGGGGGGTGGAGAGGGTGGTAATGTCTGAGAGGGAGAAGGAAGTTGTCAAGGCCTGACAAATAGAAACCCAGAGCTGGAAAGTACCAGGGGCTCCAGATGCAGCCGATCCCCCATTATACATGTCTCGGCGGCCCAGAGAGGGTAAGTAACCAGCCTCGGGTCACATAGCAAGCAGGAGCGGAGCGTGTCCCCAACACGCCACTTTGCGCTGGGATTACCGACTACTTGAAGGGCCCTGGCTCCGCAGACCAGGGGCCTCACGGGTCCTAGGCCCTGTGACGCTGGGCAGCGGAGTGCCGGCGGCTCCAACCAGGAGGCCCCACGCGGTCGCTGGGAACCGTGCCCAGCTCGAGACCTACTCGGTGGCCCGCACGAAGTTGCAGGTGTCCGCCTGGCACACGTAGAAGCTCTTTCCTTTATTCGGGCCATCGCGGACGCCGGTCTTCAGAAAGCATAAGGTCCCTGAAGAGAGAAGGTCGACAACAATTACGCCACGCTAGACTGACAGACCCCAGGGGACCGTAGGACCCTGACCCCTCACCGTGCTCGGGGCACCTAACTAATTCCATGGCGCCCCTTCTCGCCTCTTCCACAGAGCCCCGCCCAACGCCCGCTTCCGCCTTTTATGCCGGCCTCCTCACTCAGCGACCAATCATCATCCGCCTCCTGTAGTCTTAGCCCCCACAATCCACCGCGGTGGCCTTAACCCCACCCCCTAGCTATTATCAGCCAATCACACAGGACGTCCGCTCGCCTCCAGTCAATCAAAGACGCCCTCAGGCTTAGCGCGCGCCGAAATCAAAAAGGCTAGGAGGCGTGGGGGCCTGCAGGGCGTGGCTGAAGCTGGAGGGCGGTTTAGAGACTGGCTGGGCTTCCGGGGCGAGGGCATC